TCGGTCCTCGGTCCTAGAAAATGGGAACCTGTCCTCCTGATCTGATTCCCGGTTCTTGGGTGAGATCGGACCGGATCGGGAACCGCTCACCCCTACTTCATATGATAATACAACTTGACCACAAGACAAAGTTAATGTGTTTGGGAGAATGTTAAGGGTGTCCATATCATAATCGCATCAACTGTCAACTAGTTTAACGTGATTCTTTAGCATATCGTGTTCAATTTTTATCCGCGTAATCTTCCAATTAATAAAATAAGTCATGTCGACCAGATTAATGACATGGCCTATGTTGACTTTTTTTTGGTCGAAATACCTACATTGACTTGTATACCTATTTTTATATCTTATTACGAATTACTGTATAATCACGTGACGTGACTGTCTTTTTTTTGGTTTTTTTAATGGTCAGAGGTGACCGTCTTCTTTAACTTGATCACCTTTCAACGAAATTTCTCGTCTTTCGTGCGAACGTTGATTACTTTATTCTTCCTTTTGGATTGATTGGACCGTCGTTGATTGGCTACTGGTGTTAAAAGAAGAGAGAGAAGGAATGGACAATCGAACTGCGAAACTTCATGGTATGATTTTTCTCATGACTGATGAAATTTCTGCGCAGGGTCCAAGCAAAAAGGCGACGTCTCTGAGGTTTGTCTTCTTGGTGTAATCCAGCTTGCGTTGGACACGCAAGGCCTTGCGAGGCCTGGAATGTGGTGGTCTTCCTCAATCTACATCTCAAGTTTAAACTAGTGGAATTTATGACTCGTAAAAGAAATTCTTATGCAAATATGCATCCAATTCAAAGAAGTTTAAGTTATTGCTGGAGAGAAATATAAAGGAAAAAATAATACAAACAGTCATTGAATTTTGACTCAATGTACAATTTGGTCTATGAACTTTTAATTTGTTCAATGTAGTCCTGAACTTTAACCCAATGTTCAATGTGATCCCTAAACTTTCAATTTTTGCAATATGATCCTTGAATTTTTTATACATGTTCAATTTAGTCCCTAAATTTTATAAAAATGTTCGATGGTGTCCTTCAATTAATTCAAGTTCAGGGACTATATTGTACATTTTCATATAGTTCATGGACAAAATTGAACATATACCAAATGTTCAGAGATCACATTGAACAAATTAAAAGTTTCGGGACTATATTGAACATTAAGCTAAAGTTCAGGAACTACATTGAATAAATTAAAAGTTCTGGGATCAAATTGCATATTGAGCTAAAGTTCGAAGACTGTTTGTGTCATTATCCTAAATATTAAAGTAATGCAGGGATCGAGATCCACTAAATGTAAGAGGTAAACATTGTTAGGGCTGAATGAGCAATCAAGAAAGGGGTGAATTGACTTTTTTTTTTTTTAAGAGAACACGGTCTAATTCTGTAGAATCCAACCCCAACAAATATAAGCTTATACGCGCAAAAAGAACCAGCAATATAAGAGCGGGAGTTAAAGAGTTTTAGGGACAGAGAAACTGCAAATTAACAATATTTATAATGATTCGACTTGGGTGTGCCCACTCTTATCTTCTAACTCTAGCGGCTCAAATAGACCGATTTCCACTAGCTATACTAAGAATACAAATACCATCACGTTACAAGAGTTGAACCCGCCGCTGTGCATGATCTGATTATCTACTATAACAACCCTGCTATATACCAACTATCCAACCCTCCATTAGTCGTTCTCTTATATACATAGCACAGTAGTTCCTTTCCCCTAACTATAAACCACACATATAAGTTTTACAAAGAGTCCATTGCACAGTTCGTCCCTCATCTAGACAAACCCCTTCATCATAAGTACAACTATTTCTCTCGTTTATTTATAAATGGTTTTGTCACTCTTGCTAGTTCTTAGAAACTCAAATGGGTACTATAAGATTACAAAGAGACAAACTCAAAAACCTCTCAACTATACTAATATTTTCTTGTTGTTGCCCTTGACAAACTAAAACTTACTTCTGGCCAAGTTTTCTCCAATTTATAGAGGGAAAAAGTAATAACAAATCTCAAACTATGCCCACCGTGACATGTTTATTCTAAACTTTTTTTCTATAACACAAGAATTCCTAAGACTCTTACTTGTGTGACATATTTGCCCTCCGTCAAAGTTCCGTCGATGAATACTTTTAAAAATCTGTCTACATGAATGCTGGAAAATAAATGGCGTGGACATGGTGCCCGTGTGGTTAAAGTGAAATAAAATGATGTTGTTTTAGTTGAAAAATCATCTAATGGAATATCGACGGAAAGTAAATGTGCCACATAGGTACAAGTTTAGGGTAAATGTGTTACAGTGGGTATAGTTTGGGGTTTTTGACGTAACAAAAAAAGTTCAAGGTAAATGTATTACAGTGGGTATAGTTTGAGATATTTTGTGGTTTTTTTTTCCAATTTATAGAGTTCCAAATTCAAATGTTGCACTTGAATCAAGTAGTCATTATGTCCATCTAATTCCAGAAAAATCTCAGGAAAATTCCTTGAAAAATACGCACAAAACCTTGCTTCAATCAGGGTTGTTAATCAGATTTTTATTAATGGCTGGTTTTGATCAAGCCATCACATCCAAGCATGGATAATCTGTTAAGAAATCAACAACCGCTTGATCTTTTATTTCTCGGAATACCATATATACCAAGCAAATTCGGATAAGGCTAGAGCCCATTTGTTGATTGGGCCGAGAAATCATATACTCGAGGGATAATTCCAAAAAAGGATATGAAGTGTCATTATTTTCTCAAATAAGGATCTGAAGTGGATTTTGTGTCAAATAAGGGCTTGAAGTGGCATATCGGTCTCAAATAAGGGCCTGAAGTGGCCATGATAGTTGCAAATAAGGCCCTGATCTCGCCGATTGTCGACCTGCGAAATATTCCAACTGCTCAAGGGTATTTTCGACGAAATATTCCGACCACTATTTTCGACCACTATTTTCACAAAAACTAATGTCGGCTTTCCGAACATAAATATTATGTAAAATCAGCTAAAAGGGCATCATATCCTCCAATAAGATCCACATGCTTGAATAAGCCGAGTTATAGAAATAGCTCTGTCATTTCAAAACCTGCATACATGCATCATAGAATAAGGGTGCGAATGATAACCGTTGTGTTTCTGGAAATAATTTCTAGCTATTTCTATTCCCTTGATGAGTTTTTGAATAGAGAAATGCATTTGATAATAATACAAAATTTTTGTGATGGAGGAGGAGGAGGAGGAGGAGGTGTTGGGGGAGAGAGAAAAGGTGGTGGTGGAAAGTGGCTCGGAGGAGAGAATTTTTATTTCTGTTTTTATTTCAGAAATAGAAAAGTAGATAATTTTTATTTCTCATTTCTATTCTAAACCTATTTTTGGGTTAAAAATTTGTTTCGAAAATAGAAAAATGAAATTGCGTTACCAAACGGATTTCTGTTCCAAACCTGTTCTGGAAATAGAAAAATAGAAAAACAAAGAAAAGTAATGGTTATTATGAGCATCCTGAAAAATCAAAACTTATAGCCATTTGCACATGCACACACATCAAATCTAAATCCATGCATTCGTTGTTGACACCTAAATTTTAGGAGGCCGCGACATTCATTTCATTATTTAACGTGTCATATCAAGTCATCACATTATATATAGTTATGTTGTCATCATTGACGCAACACGTCATTAGACGAAAAGCCATCAAATGACATGTCATCACATGACACATCATCACATCACACGACGCATAATAACTTGGCAAGTCATCATACATGATGCATCATTACACAACGTATCTTCACTTGACACATTATTATATGTCGCATATGCTACGTTATAATTGTGCATACACACATTCATGTTCATATGGCATAGAGTCATTGCCGAGGTGTAACTCGATGCAAACATTTCGCTTCATAACATCTCCAAACAAAGAAAGATCGCCCTTCATATTTTCGGAAATCAAACAATAAAAGAATTTAAAGGTTTTTATTGAAAATGTGGAACTGAAAGGTCGTTGTAGGGGTAATGAACCTTCCCATACGTAACTGAAAGCCCAGATCAAAGATGTATGATTTCACAATAGATTAGTCACTTTCACAGGGGCAACTTCGTAGTTTACTTTCCTAGAAACTATTTGCAATTGTATGGTCCAACCGGCCTAGATTAATACAATCGATTGGTGATGGTTCCATTAATTTCAAAACCTAGAAAACATTTCTCACCCTTTGCATACCACCAGGGATCTCAAGACCACAGGGAAGGGTCCTGATGAGCCCACACCTAACGTGGGGCGATGTCTAATGCTTGCGGCGCATATGAGATGTCTACACATAAATATGTATGTGTGTCGATAGGGGGGGTGGGGAGGATCATCTCCCTCTCCCGCCCTTTAATAGAACGATTTAAAGTTCTGTAATTTTCATATCCTATCCGATTGGAAAATTATCCATCTCTTTATACCTCGAATTTTATTTAACAAATTATACTTGTATTATTTATCAAATATATTCGAAATACGTCATCCAACACCTATTAGGAGAATTCATATCGTATCTACTATCGATATCAAATATCCACTTTTAATTTAAGAGCTCATTTGGTTGGTTAAAATGTTTTCAATTTTAGTGGCATATGCCAAGTTTACCATAAAACCTACCAAAATCATGATCGAAACGGATTCTAGTGCATGAAAATGAAATAATCCATTCACGAGACATTGTTTGCTAACCGTGATAAACGGGGATCGTTTTGAAATTTAGCCGACCAACTTTCGTCCATTCTTTTTCAATGTTTTGTCGACTGGATCAACCTCGGGGTGAATCCAAACTCGCTTGACAACACTGGGTTGGATAAAACTCGCCGGTTGAGACAAAATACGCGCTGATAGCTTTCGCTTAACAAACAGTCAAACCTGCGCGGTTGCAGTGTAACTTGGGACACGGCTAACGCGGGTCTTCGTCAACCCTAAATTATAAGTACCAGAGCGAGGCATCCAATGGTCGCACTTCCTAACAAATTTCCGAAGTAATTACTGACGGATTTGACCGGAGAATAGACTTTAACTACTACCTTTATATATATATCACCCTCAAGGATCTCCCTTACCATTTCGTTCATCTCATCCTCCATTGTTGCTTCAAAGACCGAAAAGCCCCTTTTCCTCCTTGCCTCTGCAGAAAACCCAGGAAGAAACAGAGAGAAGCATCCTCTGCAATTCTTGGGACGTGGGTTTCTGTTCTTCGACGTTCTTGGTGACCCATCAAAGTTTTGGATCTTCTTGACTTGTCTGGTCTGTGAAGAGAGAACAAAAAATGCCGAGTGATTATGCAGGAGCTTCTATGCAAACACCGTTCAGGGAGCTGTTATCGCTGGTTAAAGATGTAGTGAAAACTGTTCCTGCACTTCATGGCCAGCTCCAAAAGATCGAATCCACCTTGAGCACCATAGATCCAATCATCAATGACTTTGACGAGTATAGCAAACAGCTGGACCGTCAGAAAGAGAGGGGTCTGATCATGGACCTATTGGATGAAGGCAAAGGATTAATCAACGAATGCTTGAGAATACACCCGCTCAACCTGTGCAAGAAGCATACGCAATCGAAGAAGCTGACTGAGTTCAACGCAGCAGTGCAAAGGGAGTTCCAAATTTACATGCCGCTGCTGAACCAAAGGATCAACGGGGAGATATTGTGGGAGATAAAGGAGTTGAGGGAAGAATTCAAAGAGTTGATCCATTCAGGTCAACTGAACGGCGGGGCCCTCAAGAGCGGGCTCGAGGCTTCGGGCAGCCTTGCCGCCCCTGAGGCGCCCGATTTCATTGTTGGGTCAGAGGTGAAGGCGTCCTTGAGCAAGCTTAAGGAGCGGTTGCTTGAGGAGGGTGTGTCTGTGATTGTTGTGACCGCCATAGGCGGTTGTGGGAAGACCACTCTGCTTAAAAAATTGTGTCATGATGTGGACATTGAAGGTATGTGCAATTTGTGTTTGATTGATTCATAACTAATTGAAGTTTGGATGAATGTATTGATTAAGTTTTGCCAATTGGTCACCTCTAATAGTCTTTTAGTTAGCCGTTATTTATGTGTACAAGAGCTGTTGCTGGAACAATGTTCCACCTTTTGCACATCTTTGAATGATTGAATCCCGTTACCTGTTCTCTCTGTCAAGCAAATCAGTTTCTTGTAGATGTGAATGTTCGCACAAAGAATTGCCTTGGTTTTACGCTGATGGAGTTTCATCAAGTAAAAGAATCTCTCATCGTTTAATTTCGGGTGTGATATCATTTCCAATCTGATAGGTTTTTCCCATGCTTTTTTATATGCAATAACTCGCCTCTGTTAGATTGCGCTGAGTGCCTTTCTTAATTAGCTGAACCCTCCTCTTCACACGCCATAGGCTTCAGACTTATTATTTCTGCTATATGGTATCTACTTGGCTCTGCTTCTTAACCTACCGAATTCAAATAAACTAAAAAGCATTGTGGCATATTTTCGTACTTTTTGCAAGCAATAGGAGTCAGACTTACTGTGGTTTGCATATAGGCAAATTCAACAACAACATGATGTTCGTCCCTGTCTCGGAGAAGCCCAACCTGACAGACATCGTCCAGAAAATGATTCAGCATAAGGGTTTCGCGGTACCTGTGATTGAAACAGAAGATGATGCAGTTCGTAACTTGCAGCAACTGCTCAACAAAATAGGACAAAGTCCTGTGTTGCTAGTGCTGGATGATGTCTGGACTGAATCGCAATCCATCCTTGACAAACTTGTCTTCAAGAAGATCAAAGATTACAAGATTGTGGTGACCTCAAGATATGAGTTTCCTGCTTATCGTCCTGTGCATCACCTGAACCCACTGACTCATGGCGAAGCCCTGGAACTTTTTCGTCAATCTGTTACTGTTGATGATAGTACCATGGATGCACTAGATGATGAGCTCTTGGATCAGGTACACTCTTGCTTGAGTACATCAATTAGAGGATTTCTTATGGTTATCAAAACTCTTGAGTTAACTTTTTTCTTGAAAGAAATTGTTCAATGAAATTCAACCTGCCTATCCTTAGATTCATTGGTCTTCCATAGAAAAGAGCCCTTGATTTGTACTAATCTGGATTCCTATCAAGTTCCAACAATTATTTCTGTGTTTTTTTTCTCCGTGGCAGATAGTGAAACGCTGTAAGGGATTGCCATTGGCTCTTACAGTCGTTGCCAAGTCTCTCAAAGGAAAGGATCGTTCATTCTGGCACAGTAAGCTTCTTGAATGGTCTGAAGGTCATTTTCTTTTGGATTCGGAGATTGACATCCTAGATGGTCTCAAAAGGAGGTTCAACGACTTGGATGGTGACCCTTCCATCAAGGAACGTTTCATGGACCTCGGCTCGTTTCCGGAGGATTGCAAGATTCCTGCCACCGCCCTTATTGATATGTGGGTGGAATTGTACAAGCTAGATTTTGATGGCGTACACGCCATTACTGACCTCCATGAACTTGCTTGTAGGAACCTAGCTGATCTTCTTGTCACCAGGTATGGCTCCAAAGTTCGTTTTGTTCTCTCGTTCCAACTTATCTAGTTTTCTACTGATCTGAGAGTATCTCATTAGACTCTAGTTGGCATCTGATTAGTTTTTCCTGATACATGACAGTTAGAATGCGTGTGAAAAATGGACAAAGGCGTGATGAGATTTTGCACAAAGATTGAGAGAGTAATTTGATGACCCATAGCTAAGCCCCAAGATTTTAGTTTTTCCGTAGTGTGACAAAGTATCTTGTTTCCCCAAATATGGGCATTCTAGATGTTTTGAATCCACACCACAATTACTGCACTTGCCCTTCAGCTACAGTTTGTTCCGCATTGTAGAGGTCAAATGATTTATACATTGGCCTGTAAAGGATATTTCTAACTCCTGATTTAATTTCTCAAAAGTGGGAAAGATCAGATGTCTTCTTTTACCATCAAATCGGTATCATCAAATGCCTGGCACTAGATTTTAGCGCAAGCAACTTGAGAGCAAATGCTTATATCCAAGTGTTTGATTGCATTCGTACAGGCGAGATTCAAGTGACGACGACGACAAATCATACAGTAGTCACTATGCTATGCAGCACAATCTTCTCAGAGAGCTGGCTATCATGGAGTGCAACCAGGGGGAAGTAGAGAAGAGAGAGAGACTCATTCTGGACTTGACCGGAAATAATTTTCCAGACTGGTGGAGCGAGCAAAAGCCACAGCCTCTCAGTGCTTGTCTAGTGTCCATCTCCACAGGTTAGGAACTCTCTCTCTCTCTCTCTCTCTCTCTCTCTCTCTCTCAACGACCTATAGGGAAAAATTCAACTGGTTGGCAGTTAGTTACCTTCTACCCTTCTACAATCATAATGCAGATGGAACATTCTCAACACCCTGGCCAAACCTTGAATTGCCTGAAGCAGAGGCTCTTGTCTTGAACTTCAAGACGAACAAGCAAATCAAAACTTGTGTTCTGCCTGAATTTGTTGCGAAAACAGATAAGCTCAAGGCCCTGATAGTAACAAACTACAGTCCTTTTCCGGTTGAGTTGGACAATTTCCAGGTCATCGGGTCCAATTTAAGGAGGATCAGGCTTGAACGCATCACAGTTCCTTTACTAAGCATGGGGAACCTATGCTTGCAGAGTCTGCAAAAGATATCCTTTTACATGTGTGACATTAGCCAGGCTTCACCGTTGAACGACACCAAAATCTCTGATGCAATGCCAAACTTATTGGAGCTCAACATTGACTATTGCGAGGATCTTATGACATTACCAGATGGCATCTGTCAGATAAAGCCTTTGAGGAAGCTTAGCATCACAAACTGCAATAATTTCTCCACTCTCCCTGAACAAATTGGGCAATTGGCATCCCTCGAAGTGGTCAGGCTTAATTCATGTAGAAACTTGTTGCAGTTACCGGACTCAATTGGAAGCCTTCGAAACTTGATTTTTCTCAATATATTTGATTGTCTGAACCTGAGCACCTTGCCTAATCAAATTGGTCAAATGGTCAATCTCAAGAAGATAAACATGAGAGGATGTCTAAAGTTGTCTGTGTTGCCACGGTCGATTGTGAAGCTGAGGAACTTAAGGAAGGTGGTTTGTGAGAAAGAAATAGCTATCATGTGGGGGCCTCTCAAGAACAGTCTCAATAGCTTGGAGATAAAAGTGCCTGAAGAAGAGGCCAACTTCGATTGGCCCCGTGATTAAGGGACATTTCTTGGAGATCTGGAGAGACTGAGTTTCACAACCTAAATTAGGTACGACCCAAGGAAACGGATGTGAACATGTACAAGACGTTGCTTCTGTTTCTTTCATTCCCATTTCTCCTCTTTTGCTCATCGTGTCGGGATTTACTATTACTTTTAATATTTTGTATAATTCATAAGTATATAGGAAGTGGTTTTACTTTTGACTTTTCTTTAAATCTTACGATGCACACAATTTGACTTTTTTTAAATCTTAAGTTCCTAAAACTTTCACAATTTACAAATTGTGAAAATGTATGTCTTTTCAATAAGTTCCAACATAATCTAATGAAAAGAACTAATGGCAATCTCTAAGATAGGTATGCTATCCTCCAAACATGACTCTACTCTTGGCCTTCAAAAGAGACTGCCTTGTCTTGAGGCCATTAATCTACTTTTTTTAAGGCAATCATGTCTCAAAAACCTTTCTGATCTAGAGAATCCATAGAGTGGCAAGTAGAGAATATACTAGCGAAACCAACTCATCTTATCTAATTAATAAGATAATTGTAACTCTCTAATACTATCAACCCTCGAGAGAGGAGGAATAGTATTTAAAAGATCATGGGAGAGCATAAAAATTCAAAACTTAGCCCACTATTATTCCAACTTCTCGCACAAGTTAACCTTATATAGCAAAGTTTGAGAGCATTACAGACTTGCTCAAAACACACGAAACTTTCACAACATAGGATTATTGACACTTAGATTCACATCTATTTTCATCACTTTGTGTAATGTGAACAACAACTTAAATTTTAACATAAAAGTTAAACATACTATTTGTATGCTTAATCGGAAACAGAGAAGCTCGTTTGTTTTCTTTGTTTCATTCTTTGACACTCACCTTCAACAATGCCTGAACCCTCAGTACGAGAGGTCCACGCATTCACGCTCACGCACAAATATGTTCGTTGGATTTAGTAGCATCTGTTTGGTCTTGTAATGAAACCGATCAGAATCAATGGTTAAGATCAGGGATGGATCTAGAATAGTTCTCCGGTGAGGGAAAATTATCTCATTAATTATACTACTCACATATAAACTGGCACGGTCACCTGTTTTTGCAGAGGATAGCAAAAGGTGACGGTCACAAAAAGACGAGCATCCCACATCTGAATGGATAGGGAGTATTCGTTCCCAACCTTAAACCTTCTCGAATATGTGTTTAGCATCATTCTCTCTTTTACACAGATAATAAAGTGGGCAAGATAAGATGTCAACAAGATAAGACCGAATTATCACCTGACCTCGAAAATGGGGGTTTTGTGTTCCTTGTCCTGGTCCAATCCAATAATGGTGGACGAAGCAAATGATGTGATACAAACAGAGTGGGAGGACACAAAGCGCCAAAGTTACCCTACTTGGGAAAAATGATGTATTTCGCACCTAAACTCAACTTGACTCAGTATGGGAAATAACACGTCATTTCCTAACATGTACATGACGAAGGAAGGACTCAAATAGAACGATCGACCCTCAAACAGATGAAGGGGTAATCACCGCAGCAGAACGGAAACAACGGACAATCACTCGACCATGAAGAATGGTGTATCTCGTTCCTGGCTTTAATACATCTCAGTATAGAAATGATACCTCATTTCCCACGTGTAGGGATATTGGAGACAAAACGGAGTTCTGCTAGGCGAACATGATAGGGCACCAAATGCCGAGTCTCCGAAACAAAACACGATGGAACACAATTATCTGGATCATCGTTAAAAGGGTGTACCTCATTCCTAATCTTGGTCCAATTCCGTGCAAACAAATGATACGGCTCTTCCTCATGCATAGGAATACTTAATTGAGGTAGATGGCTCCAGAGGAGACTAAGGAGCACAAAGTGTCAGAGTCACCTGATTTCGAAAAAGAGTGCATCTCGTTTCTTAACTTAATTCACCTTACTACAAACATGAGATGTCCTTTCTTTTTATATAGGATGAATTCAAACAAAGCAGAGGTCCGCCAGGCAAACATGACGAGGCAACATATGTTGAAGTCAGCCTGCTCCGTATAAAAGGATGTATCATGTTCGTAAATATGATGCGACTGATTATGGAACGACACATCCCACCTATTGCCTCGCAAATGAAGGAGCGTGTTTGACCACAAGGGCAACACCTCCCACCAAGAAAATATGATGGGACTGAATCATCCACTTTGGTGTAAAAGGATCTACATCGTTTCTAAGTATGTTCAATCAAGTGTGGAAACTTGCAAGTGATAAATTGGGCAAGATGCCCAAGAGGCATTGCCCCCACGCTGAAGCAGGACGTATCCCTATTCCTCGTTTTTGTTATTTGTCTAAGAAAATATTACACAAATGATCTATGAACTTTGACCTAATATGCAATCTCGTCTCTAAACTTTCAATTTGTTCAATATAATCTCTGAACTATTATAAATGTTCAATATAGTTCCTAGATTATTTAAAAATGTTCAGTGTGGTCCTTCCGTTAATCAAAATTAACGGAGTTTGATGACGTGGATTTTCGTGCCTTAAGTAATAAAAAAAAGACACTTGGAATATCCACATAAGTTGTATATTTCAAATTATCAGAAGAAAAATCCACATGGAAATCATCATTAAAACAACTCAAACAGAGGCCACAGACCAAAAAAAGGAAAATAGAGGCCAATCGTTTTCATCTCTATTTCTACGATTTCTGCTCTCATACTCTGGCTGGTCCCAAAACGTTGTATCAAGACACGACGAAGAAAAAGAAAGAGGAGGAGGTAAGCCTTACAATCTCTATTAAGAGTAAGTATTAAGATTTTTTTTTCATGGAACATATGTGGATTTAGGGTTCAAGACTCGAGCTTGCTTCAAACGGTGACTCTATCTTGTCACACAGAAGAAGTTACTCTGTGCCAAGAGTATTGTCTTGTCCGTAATGCTTCCAATGAAGACTTGGGTCTGTACACGTGGGGGTTTTACAAGGAAAATGTGTCCTGCACGCTCCTCCATGGCTGTTATTTAGGGTTAATTAGGGCTTTCTTGAAGATGGGTTAATCAAGGCTTTCTCAAAGATGATAATGCACCATTCTGACTTGATCAAATCGTAGTTATGACGTAAAGTGCGAATAGTTTATTCTTCAAATGGTTGTCATGTGCAGGATCCACGAACAGGACATGCCGTAAAGTGGGACGTCTGCTTGAACATGTGTCCTTGCAGCTTCCGAACTCTTTCGTTGGTTGCGTTGCCACAATTTCATCTAAAACTTGGCATTCTCGCTTGGGTCATGCTTCTTTCGCTAGATTAGGTTCTTTGATTTTCAGTGGTCATCTAGGTTCTGTTGACAATAAACTGTTTGATTGCTTGGGAGAAATCGAATTATTTCGCAAGGTATAGGTTTAGGAGAGCCTGCTCTCCTAATTGATGTACATTTGGATCCTTAGTATCATTTGATTTGATGAGCCATTCGAATCATCTTTCGAACGATACTTCTAAACCCGTTCCCCAAACCGCATTTGGGAGAGGTCACAACATGCACTTTGAGTAGCCACTGATAATTTCTTAGGATTCTTGGTTCATCAAAGAGGTTTAGAAGTTGATAGGAACAAGGTAAAGATGATCATGGAATTGCCACCTCCTACGGATAAAAGATATTTCCAAATGTTAATAGGAAGAGTTTAATTTCTCGAGGAGGTTTATTTCTAATTTGTTTGGCAAGTTGCAAATTTTCTCGCCTTCCCTAAATTTGAAAGACAATTACATGGGAAAAGAAACATTCAAAATCCTTTGCTGATATTGAGAGGTACATGTCGAATCCTCCTATGTTGGCATCTCCAAAAGCATGCCTTCAAACCTTTCTGAATCAATGGCTAAGGAGATGATGGGGAGCATGCTGGCACAAGAGAACGAGGATGGAGTAGAACAAACGGTTTATTACTGAAGCGAATCCTTGCGGATGTAAATAGGAAGTACTACACTATTGAAATGTTATGCCCGTATCAAACTTAGACATTCCATGTTGCCAGCAGAAACGTGTGTATTATGCAAAATAGACACCATCGTGGTAAGAGGAAGGATTGACAAATGGGCTTTGGCCTTATCAAAATTTGCTTTGGTAGTCCCTTTTCATTATAGCAAATGCCCCCATTAAATTTCTAACATCATCATTTAGTTTAAGTTAAAATATAACATGGTTTTTTTTTTAAATTTCCCTAACAGATCAAGAAAATACACTTGAAAAAATTGTAGGATGAAAATAAGTTTCTAACAAATCTATTCATCATTAACTATAGTTTAACTTTTGAATATTAGTTAATGAACTAAATACGTTCAGCTTAGTATTTAATCAATGAGGAAATTTTCCCTCACCGGAAGAGTATTCCAGATCCGTCCCTGCTCTTAACCATTGAATTTGATTGGTTTCATTGTAGACCTAAGAGATCATACTAAATTAAACGGTCTAGATTTGTGTGTGCGCGCGCGCACATCACGGACCTCTCATACTATAGGGTTCAGGCATAATTGAAGGTGGGTCAAAGAATGAATCAAAGAAAATAAACAAGTTTGTTTCCAGTTAAGCATATAAAAGGTATTTTGATTTTTACTTTTATGCTACAAATTAAATATTATTCTAATTTCAAAAGTTATGAAAATAGATGTGAATCTACATGTCAAAATCTATATCTTGTGAAAGTCTAATGCATGTAATTAGTCAAAAAAGTGCAAGTCTGTGCACCATTAGGTTTAGGGTTTGTTTGTTTGAACTTTACTAAAGAGTAATGTTTTTATTTTCACACCAAAATCTAAACCGTTATTCAAATTTTGAAAATTCATAGAAACTTTATATGTAGATCTAGGTGTCAGTATTTATAAATTATGAAAGTTTTTTGTAAATAAGACTAAAAAATGTCAAATCACACGAGTCACAAGATTTAAAATAAAGTCAAAATTAAAAATTTCCTCAGATATACTTTTAAATTAAGTAAAAAGTAAAAAGTAAAAGTTAATATAGACATGTTCGACAAAAAAAGCTAGATCGTATTAAAGAGAAAATGAGGACAAATGGGAACGGAAAAAGAAGAAGCGATATTTTATACATATTTACATTCTTATTCTTGGACGTACCTAATTTAGGTAGTGAAACTCAGTCTCTCCAAGTCTCTAAGAAATGTTTGTCAGTCACGTAGCCAATCTAAGTTAGGCTCTTCTTCAAACACTACTATCTGCAAGCCAGCGAGACTTTCCTTGAGAGGCCACCATGTGACGGCTTTTTCTTTGTCACAAATCACCTTCCTTAAGCTCGTAAGCTTCACGATCGATGGTGGCAACACACACAACCTCATACATCCTCTCATGTTTATCTTCGTGAGACTAACCATTTGGCCAATTTGATTAGGCAAGGTGCTCAGATTGAGACAATCAGATATGTCAAGAAATCTCAAGCTTCGGAGGCATCCAATTGAGCCCGGTAACTCCGACAAGTTCGTACAGGAATTTAGCTTGACCACTTCGAGGGATGCCAATTGCCCAATTTGTTCAGGGAGAGCTGAGAAATTATGGCAGTTTGTGATGCTAAGCTTCCTTAAAGGCTTTATCTGAGAGATGCCATCTGGTAATGTCACAAGATTGTTGCAATACTCAATGTCAAGCTCCAATAAGTTTGCAATTGCATTGGAGATTTTGGCATCGTTTGACATTGAAGCCTGACTGATTTCGCACATGCAAAAGGATATCTTTTGCAGACTGTGCAAGCATAGGTTTCCCATGCTTATTAATGGAACTGTGACGCGTTCAAGTCTGATCCTCCTTAAATTGGACCCGATCACATGGAAATTGCCCAGCTCGGCTGAAAAGAAGCTGTAGTTTGTTACTATCAGGGCCTTAAGCTTATCTGCCTTCTCGATGAATTTAGGCAAAGCATAAGTTTTGGTTTGCTTGTTGGTCGCGAAGTTCAAGACAAGAGCCTCAACTTTTGGCAATTCAAGATTTGGCCAGGGTGTTAAGAATGTTCCGTCTGCATTGTGTGTAGGAGGTTAGAAGGCAACAAACTACCAAACAATTGAATTATTCCCTACAGGTGATTGAGAAAGAGAGAGAGAGAGAGAGAGAGAGAGAGATCAAGTTCCTAACCTGTGGAGATGGACACTAGACGAGCACCAAGAGGCTGTTGCTTTTGCTTGCTCCACCAGTCTGGAAAACTATTTCCGGTCAACTCCAGAATGAGTCTCTCTCTCTTCTCTATTTCCCCTTGGTTGCACTCCAGGATAGCCAGCTCTCTGAGCATACCGTACTGCATAGCATAGTGGCTGCTGTAAGATTTGTCGTCGTCGTCACTTGAATTTCTCCTGTATGTATGCAATCAAACACTTTGACATCAGCATTTGCGCTCAAGTTTCATGTGCCAAAATCTAGTGCCAGGCATTTGATGATACCAACTTATTAGCAAAAGAAGACAATCCCACTTTTGATATATTATGTCTGGAGTAGAAATGTTCTTTAGCGGGTTTTGTATAAATTATAACGGAAGGTTACGATCAGTAACTGTGATGTGGGTTCAAAACATCTAGAATGCCCGAGTTTGGGGAAACAGAAACACTAGACTTTGGAGTCACACTCTCAATCTCGGTGCAAAGATCTCATCATGCCTTTGTCCATTTTACACTTGCAAACAGTCACCTATCAGGAAAAACTAATCAGATGCCAACTAGTCTCGGGGAGGTACTTTCAGAGCATTAGAAAAATAGAAAAGTTGGAATAAGAGAACAAAACGAACTTCAGAGCCATACCTAGTGACTACTAGATCAGCTAGGTTCCTGTAAACGAGGTCATGGAGGTCGGTAATGGCTTGCACGCCATCAAAATCTAGCTTGTACAATTCCACCCACATATCAGTAAGGGCGGTGGCAGGGATCTTGCAATCCTCCGGAAACGAGCCGAGGTCCATAAAACGTTCCTTGATTGAAGGGTCACCATCCAGGTTGTCCAAGTGCTTTTTCAGGCAATTTAGAATGTCAATGTCTGTGTTCAAACGGGAATGACCTTCAGACCATACAGTAAGCTTTTCTATCCAGAATGAACGATCCTTTCCTTGGAGAGACGTGGCAACGACTGTAAGAGCCCATGGAAATCCGTTACAGGATTTCACTATCTGCCACAAGGGAAAAAACAAAAGAAAACTATTACTGGAACTCGATAGGACTCGTAATTAGTACAAAACAAGGCCTCTCTTTGATAAAAGAGAGACGAAAGCAAGGATAGCCAGGTTAATATTATTAAACGTCTTCTTTGAAGAATAAAAAATGAAAGGAAGTTTCAATGACCATAAGAAGTCCTATAATGGATGCACAAAAGAAAGAGTATACCTGATCCAAGAGCTTTTCATCTGGTGGATCCATGCTGCTATCATCAATGGTAACAGTTCGACGAAAAAGTTCCAGGGCATCGCCATGAGGAAGTGGGTTCAGGTGATGCACAGGATGACAAGCAGGAAACTCATATCTTGAGGTCACCACAATCTTGTAATCTTTTATCTTATCAAATTTGAATTTGTCAAGGAAGGATTGTGATTCGGTCCACACATCGTCCAGCACAAGCAACACAGGATTTTGTCCTATTTTCTTGAGCAGCAGCTGCAAGTATTGAACTGCAGCATCTTCTGTTTCAATCACAGGTACCGCAAAACCGTTATGTTGAATCATCTTTTGGACAATGTCTCTCAGGTTGGGCTTCTTCACAGGGACGAACATGATGTTTCTGAATTTACCTATATGCAAACCACAGTAATTCTGACTCCCATCGCTTGCAAAGAGTATGAAAATTTGCCACAGCACTTCTAGTTTATTGTATTTGGTGGGATAAGAAACAGAGCTAAGTAGTTACTAGATAGCGGAAATACTAAGTATAAAGCGTATGGCATCTGAAGAGGAGAGAGTTCAGCTGATTAAGAAAAGCGCTCAGCAATCAAACAGAGGAGTTATGGCATAGCTAAAAGCTTGGGACAGACCTATCAGATTGGACACGATATCAAAACCGAAATGAAGCAATGAAAAAAAGATTCTTTTACTGGATGAAACATCGTCTGCAAAAAACCCAAGTAATTCTTTGTGCAAACACTCACATCCACAAGAAATTGTATTGCTTGACAGAGAGAGGATTCAATCATGTAACTATGCGCAAAAGTGGAACATTGTTCAGGCAAACAGCTCCGATACACATAAAAGGATCACCAAAAGGCTATTAGAGGTGACCAATTGGCAAGGATCAATCAATAAATTCATCAGTTCTGGATCAATCAAAACACTAATCACACATACCTTCAATGTCCACGTCATGACACAATTTCTTAACCAGAATTGTCTTCCCGCACCAGGGTGGTGCGGTCACAACAATCACAGATACTCCCTCCTTGAGTAACCGCTCCTTGATCTTCCTCAAGGATGCCTCCACCTCCGACCCGACAATGAAATCCGGTGCCTCTGGGGCTGCGAGGTTGCCCGAAGCCCCGAGCCCTCTATGGAGGACTCTGCCACACGCTTGACCAGCATGGATCAATTCCTTGACTTCTCTTATCTCCCACAATATCTGCCCGTTGTTTCTCGCATCCAGCAGCTGGATGTAAATTTCGAACTCCCTCAGTAGCTCTGCATCAAACTTGGTCAGCTTGTTCGAGTGCGTATACTTCTTGCACAGGTTAAGTGGGTGAATCCTCAAGCACTTGTTGACCAGTCCTTTGCCTTTATCCAATAAGTCCTTGATCGTTCCTGTCTCTTTCGGACTGTATACTCGTTTGTTGTACTCATCAATTTCAGTGATGATTGGCTCTATTTTGCTCAAGGTGGATTCGATCTTCTTGAGCTGCGGACCAAACGCGGGAACGGTTTTCACTACGTCCTTCACGAGCGAGAACAGCTCGCTGAATGCTGTTCGCAGAGCAGCTGCTGCGAAATCAACTGGCATTTCTTGTTCTTTCTTTGTTCACAGACCAAACAAGCCAAGAAAATCTGAAACTTCGATGGCTCACCAAGGATGCTTTTGAGGTTCTGAAACCCACGTCCCAAGATTTGCAGAGGACGCTTTTCTTTTGTTTTTCCGGGTCTTTGAAGCAACAATGGAGGATGAGATGAACCAAAAGGTGAGAGATTCTTGACTGATATTATTATTTATTATAAAAGTGGTTGTTACGAAAACTTCCGGCCAAATACTTCGGTGCGTTTGATTCAACTTTCAAAATGCTACTTGAGAGAATAAAAATACCTTTAGCTTAAATCCTTTGGGAAAATACAGGTGGCGTTTGGTGAAACATTATTTGTAAAGTTACTTTGACCCAAGTAGCGTTTGGTAAAAAAATTTTACAAAAGAGCTTTGGGAATTATTTTTTTTATTAAAAAACAAAAAACCCTACCCTACCCTTCGCCGGAGCCTGCGACCTGCGAAGGCCTACGGCCGACAGCCTCGCGCAACCCAGGCAGGCGACGCCTGGGCGGTCGCCCGACCTCAGGCGGCCGTTGCCTGGGTCGTGCGACCTCGCCGGCCTCTCGCCGGCCCGATCGGGTGTCGGTCTCCCTCGCCGGCCGCCTCACGAAGAAGATGAACAGTAACAAGAGGGGCAAAATCGGAATAAGCCAAAATAAGTGAGGGTAGTTTGGGGTCAAAAAAATTGGGTTCGGCATTTGTGGAATGCCGAAAGCCCAAAGCTAGTCAGGACCAGCTTTAGGCTTTTGGCATTCCAAATGCTAGGCCGAACCAGCTTTGGGCTTTCGACATTCCAAATGCTAGCATTTGGCCAATGCTAGGCCGAAAGTTGAACCAAATGGTTCAACATTTTGAAAAGGAGGTTTCGAGGCCGAAAGTCATTTCCCAAATCTGAACCAAACGCACCCTTCGTCATTATATATATGGAAGTTTCTTAGGAAGAGCGACGATTGGAGGCCACGCTCCGGTTTGACGGTTTGTTAAGGGAAAGCTATGGGCACGTATTTTGTCCGAGTCAAGCTCAGCGAGATTTATCCAAACCCGGTGTTAGCTTTATCCAGTGGACAAAACGTTAAGCAAGAATGGACGAGATTAGGTTTCCGTAATTTCAGTAGCACACGGTGTTTAATTAAGCGTGTATGAGCCAGGCTTTTTCGTTTTCGTTTCATGAATGGATCATTTCGTCTGTTTTAAAGTATGCCATATCATGGACCTTCTAACATAATATCAAGCGAGATTTTGCCCCGATTTATTTCGCGTGCGTAGCTCTCCATTTGTCGAATTCCACTTCTTGTTCCTAATTTCATGTGTCGTTCCTAATGCGGATGACACGTGAGAGAGGAGCGTTAAATTATCCTAAATCGCTTATTTACTGGGTTATATACATGTGGTCTCCCTCCACGTGAACATACTGGCAACGACCACTACTCCAATGATATCTCAATCAACGTTTTAAGATAAAGGATTTTGGGCAACTTAGCTATTTCCTAGACTTGGATGATGGTTCGGATTGCTCTAGTTGTTATCTTTCTCAAATGAAATGTGCCCCCGATCTTCTTTCTTGAGGCAGACTTATTGATAACAAGATCGCTAAAACTCCTATTAAGGATTTGAGACTAATACCAAATTTTATGACAAAGATAGGAATCATCCTCTTCTAAATCCTACACTTTATCGACAACTGATTGACAGTTTTGTATATCTCACTATTACTTGTCCTAACATTGCATATACCATTCTCATTGTCATTCAGTCCTTGACTGCATCATGTACAACTCACTTTGCAGTTATTAGGATTCATTGTTACGTCATGGGTACCTTATTTCATGGCCTTCATTTTTCTCGTCATTTTGCCTAAGCATTGTGAGTGTATTTTGATGCTAATTGGGCAGGTGACCATTTAGATCGTCATGCCACTATAGGCTAGTACTTCTTTCAAGATAGGTCATTATTCTCATGGTGTAGCAAGAAACAAATAGTCGTCCCTCAATCTAGTACATAAGCATAATATCGTTGATACGTCATCAGAATTTTCTGTGTTTACGATGATTACTAGAAGTCCCTCAATCTAGTACATAAGCATAATATCGTTGATACGTCATCAGAATTTCTGTATTTACAATGATTACTAGAAGACATGGGAGACTGTCTTAATAGTGAGATAGTAGTCATTTATTGCGACAATTGGAATGTTATTCAAATAACAAAATAATGATACTTTTCATGACCAGACAAAACACATTGAAATAGATTGTCATTTTATACTCCAAACTCCGAGATAATAATGCTAGTACTTCTTTCAAGATAGGTCATTATTCTCATGATTGTCACTTTTTATCTTTCCTCCAAACTCCAATTGACTTCTTCCACATCACTTAAGTTTAAGGCGATGATAGAGATAATTAGGAGATTCTCCATATTATCCTCGATTCTTCATATCTTTCAAGATTGGGCATTTATCTCCAATTGACTGTAATTAATATTATAATATATTGTTACCATAGATAATCATCTTATAAAGCCTGCAAATGTCTCGTGTACTCTTCATTATGCACTGCATATTTTAATCTTGGTGTAATAACCAAACTCTACTCTTGTTTTTTTTCGAATATGTGGGCCCCCATTTATCAAATTCTACGTGTCGATTAGCACGTGAAAGGGGGTATTAGAGTATCCCACATCATTTATTTACAAAGCTTATATGCTCTTAAAGATATATCATGGATTCATGGGCAAAATTCGGGTGACAACAACATGTACATAACATATCCAATAACTTGTAAAACAAAAAATAATGCCATGCATGCTTCTGCATGTTGACATGTTAATAGATCTCATAGAATATGTATTAAAAAACATAATAAACTTCCCCTGAACAAATTGGCTGATACTCCCGCAGAACCCAGAGTATGTGCTTCACGCCCTTGTTGTCTCTCATCATTACAATACAGAATATCAAGAGGATAGAAACAATCAAGCAAAACGCATCTATCTAATTATATATAACTGATGGCTACAAAGCAAGTAGAAATTAGCAGACACTAAACAAAAGATTTGCTTTGAGACTTGAGGATGAGACACTTAGAATATTAAAATACGTCTTGAGTTTAGCCATTTACAAAATCTGACTCAGTTGGATAAATGTCCAAGATTACAAGATATGCACTTATTACTTTTCTTGTCCAAGTTTGAATATTTGACCAAGAAGTGTATGGGGACAAAAGGAAAGCAAACGTGGAGTCCAGGGATAATTAGAAATAATAAGAAAAGGAAAACAAAAGAAAGTATATCAATTTTTTATTAATAAGCTGTCCTTTTCTTTGAAGTTGTGGCCGCCAATGGTCTCTCTCTTCGGCGAAGTTGTTGCCGCCGGTGAAGAAAATGTTTGGGTCCAAGTCAAAGTCGTTGACCCCCGTAAAAGAAATGGAATAATCACAGAAACAGTTCTTAAAACCTCGACGTATAACGTGATCTCGAAATTTTTAATTTATTTAATATAATTTCTAAAATTTAGCCTAATATTTAATGTGGATCCAAAATTTTTAATTTATTTAATATAGTCCCTAGACTTTGGATATATGTTCAATATAATCCTTGAATTATATGAAAACATTCAATATAGTCATTGAACTTGAATTAATGGAAGGACAACATTGAACATATTCATATAATTCAGAGACTAAATTGAGCATGCACCAAAAATTCGGGGATGACAATAAACAAAGGGATATATTTACTAGAAGTCCTAAAATTTGTCACGAAAGTGCATTTAAGTCCTAAAACTTGTAAAAAGTGCAATTAAGTCATAAAACTTGTCAAATTGATTCAATCGAGTCCTAAAATTAATACCGTCCAATTTGGTTAACGGAAAATGCTGACGTGATTTTTTTTTTATTTTTCTATCTACGCGGCGATGACGTGGCTTTTTTTATTATTTATTTTCATACTAATTTTATTTCAATTACATTTAAAAATAAGCTAGATATTAAAAAAAAAAAGGAGGAGGAGGACAGGGCGGGAGGGTTGCAAGCCCTTGCTGTTACCACCCCACCATCGCCGAGAGGGGCGAACTAGAGTGGGGGACAGTAGGCAGGGGTCGTCAAGCCTTGGTGATCCTCGCCGACGGTAGGCGAGGGGTTGCGGCCCTCCCCTAGATCGAGCTAGGGTTGTCGGCCCTTACTTAGAACTGGCCGAGGGACGCCATTAGTGGGGTCAGTTGCCAGTGGCGGCCCTTAACCAGGTCTGGGCGAGGGCCAACGACCCTCACCTAGTCTGGGGGAGGGCCGCGACCCTTTCCCTAGATCTAGACAAGGGTCATCGGCCCCTAGCTGGGCTCGAGTGACCCTTACCTGCCATCCCCCACCCTCACCAGCCACTCCCGGCAATTGTGGGGCGATGGGGAGGGCTGCCTCCTCATCTTTTTTTTTAAGCATTTTTTAAATTTTAATTTATAAAATTAATACTAAAAATCAAATTTGGGTCAAAATGATATTATTTTAGTCTTATGTTTCATTATTTAGCCACGTCATTGCCACGTTGGAGAGAGAAAATATTAAAATAAATCATGTCAGTATTTTATATTAGTAAGTCAAATGGTGTTAATTTTAGGACTTAATTGAACCAATTTGACAAGTTTTATAACTCAATTGTACTTTTGTGACAAGTTTTAAGACTTCTAGTGAACATATCCTTTAAACAAATTAAAAGTTCATGGATTACATTATATATTGGGTTAAAATTCAGAGACCATATTGCACATTTGATTAAATTTTATGGACTTTTTGTGTCATTTTTTCAAAAGCAAGAGAATTAGGGTGCGGGTTTTCCAAGGTGTACAGCCAACGCACAGTGAAGATATTATGGGTTTCTTCGTTGGAGAGGAGGATCGGTCGCATGGAGAAGAAGAAGAAAGATTGTACGGACTTTCTTATTTTTAGCCATATGCGCGCTCTTGCTTGGGCGTGAACACATTGATTTATGCTGTCAGTTTTTTTATGTCCATTTGAGTTGTTTTATTTGTAAACACTTTGAGTTTGGGTATAATTTAGATGTAGAAAATACTCGAGTGCATGAGTGAGTGATTGTAAATTTTGACTTCGATTATTAGTGGATATTTTCTGCCAACTCTTCCAGTGGATGTAGGTACTGACATTTGTTGGACCGAACCACGAAAATTTTGAGTATTCCTTTAT